ACGTTCATGTATCTAGTCAAGCCACGCGCGGGCATGACCCCACTCTAGCTCTCGTAGGAGAGCGGAGATTGGCGATGTATGATATACAGGGAGGGCGACACGGGCGGCGTCATTTATTCGTAGCTGGATTCGTGCTAGAATATCCCTGGATGTATTCTTAGAAAACCAGGTCTCGGCCCCGTAGAAAAGAGTCGCAAAGGCTATAAGGAAATGGTTGAACTGTCCTTTAAAGCTATTAATGGTGACATGAATTAAGATGATGATTGAGATTGAGATAGATTTCTCTATATTTTATTATACATGATATGCTCTGCTTCATATACCTCGAGCCAGGCAACCAGATTATGTTCCTCCAGATCTAGATTCATCAGAATAATTACTTACTCAGTAAAATTCTCCTAGTCTAAGTTATGTGTTTAGGATCTTGACTAGATTTCTATTAACTAGTCAATGATGTTTCTCCTATCACTGAGACATAGTTATGGTTGATGCAGAAGTACAAACGACGAATCGTGTCTATACATGACGTTATGATATAGTCATGATCGTTTGAACAATATCAACTCAGGAATGAATCATGTCTCTACATGACAAAGGCTGCTCCCTGAAGTGTTTGCCGGAGTATGAGAGGTTTGACACCCCGAGTGGTTAGCGAGATTCTCTTTATGGGTTGAGTAAATGCAAGAGATCTCGTGCAGGCCTTCTTAATGTGGTAGTGGAAATTGAGGTCACGGTCGAAGTAAACACCCAGCCAATAAGTGACTTTTTTCTGCCTAATTTTGACTCCGTCGGCAAAGAGACGTGGTTCTATAGGTGAGCCACGTTCTGTATGGAACTACTGGACTCGGCTTTTATAATTTCGAAGGCAATACCATTTTCACGCCCACACTTACATGTGCGGTCGAACTGATTCCGGAGTTTGGCACAGCAAGCAAGTGAAGGTGCTGATGCCAACAAGCAGATGTCATTGGCAAAGCTAAGGCGGCCCGGTGAGAGGCGGGTTACACTCTCAGTTGTGTTGATAGAGATAGAGGATCACTAAAAGCAGAGTGGAGAAGAGTGAATTGATTATTTGTTTATATATAAAAAGATATCAAGACCATAAAAAACGACGTAATAATGTAATTAAGTAAAAATCAGTAAGGAGTAGTAAGCGATCATTTATGCTGTATTCTCTTGTCATAGAAGTAGAGCCACACTAGTACCTGTTCATACAAATCTTACAGGGGAGATGGGACAAGAGTGTAAATAGTGGATGTAGAGATTGCGTTGGGAACTCTTACGTAATGAAGGTAATCGTTACTAATAGGATTATACTTCATTTTCCAACAAGTTGCTAGAAGAAATAAGATTGGTGGGACTGGGTAACCCTGTGGGAGGCCGCAGGCGATTTTAAAAGTAGAGGAATTAGATCCGTCTATTGGAATAGTGGCCTCTCGTTGTTCCATGAATGAAATGACCCACTGTACTAGGTTTAGAAGCCAGCCCTAGCTGCGGAGGTAGAGGCTAAGATGTCACTTTTAAATACCATTAAATGCGCCCCTCACATCCACGGTGACCATGTCCACAATTTTTTTTGTTCCCAGGCACACTGTGTGTCGCAGGCCAGATCAGTAGTGAGGTCGATGGCGGAGCGAGGAGGGGCTGCACTGTATTAGCCCTTGGCGAGAACCCTGTGAAGGGCTAGGTAGGAAAGCCGCCGCGCTATCAGTCGCTCGAAACTTTAACCAAAACACAAGAGGAGGGCAATCGGTCTGTACGAGTTAGGGAGGGGGAAATTTCGCTCACCAGGCTTCGGCAATATAATAACTCTGGCCTTCTTAAAGTGGAGTGGGTGGTGCCCGATTAGATTTTACCGGCGCAAAAGAGAAGCTACCCGGTTGCCGATAATTGGCCAGGCATGTCTTAGAGCTTTGACTGTTATCTCATCCAGGTCGGGCGCAGAAGAGGTGATCTGGCAGCAGGAGCGATAAATCCCTTGGTCTGAGAGTTGCGGCCAGGGAATCATGCGTCTAGCTACGGTTGGTACATCTCTAGGGATGTTCAATTTTACAAAGTGTCTGCTAAGGAGAGTATCATGGAAAAGTTACGCTTTCGCTTCTGGAGTGATCACTGGTCCATTCGGTCCTCTGATGGAAGGAGTGTGGAGGTGTACCTTACCTCTATGCCAGCCAGTAACTTTATAGGCTTCCGAAATATTGGATACATCCTCGATCTTTTTGTGCCAGTAGTTGCGCTTGGATTTCTTCACAGCTTTGCCGAAATTACTCCGCTCTTCTAGCGCAGTGAAGCCAAGACGATGGGCGCGGCAGAGGGCTTTGTGGGCCTTTGCGAAGTTTTGCGTCTGCCATGGAGCTCCAGTGGTTCTTTCCCGAGATCTAATTCAAGCCGCTTTTAGGGCTCCCGGGAGGGGATCCGCGAGCAGCTTGGCTTCATCATCTGGATTAGTTAAAGAGGGGTTTACGAGCAGGTCTTTGGGGAATTTGCTATAGGTCGACCAGTTGCAGGCCGAATAAAGGAGTCGACCTTGCGCAGAGGCTTTGGGCTCTTCGTCTGAGATCTGAGAGAGTATTGACTGGTGGTCGGGCCCGCAATCTAGGTCTTGGTGAACTTTACAGAATAATTTTGGGCCTAGACGGGTAAAGCAGAGGTCGAGAATAGCACCGGTATCGTGAGTCGGAACACCGAATGGGTTAAGCAGGAGAAGCCCTTTAGCCATTGTCCAGGATAGTAGATTTTCCCCATCAGATGTGTCGCTCCTTGCATTAGGATTCCAGACTGAGTGATGCAGATTGAAGTAGCCAGCAAGAATATCTGGGCGTTCTAGCAGGGAAAAGAGTTGCTGGAGCCCTTCGCCAGGGTTGCAGGAGCCTAATGGAGCGTTGTAAACATTACAGCAGTCAACCGTACGTCTTCCTCGTCTATATATGCACACTCAGATTAGGTCACGCGAGTGTGTGTCTAGTTGGAAAGGAGAGGGGCCCGTACCCTTGCGAGTGTAAATCATGACTCGTGGGCTACTTGCCCAATCAGGCAGGTGGGCAAATGCAAGAAAGCTGGGGTGAGTTTTTGTTGTCCGGCGAGTAAGGTCTGAGAAGATCTACGGTTCTTTGATCTTACAAGATCAGCTCCAGATTGAAATACGAGCTGAAAGGCGGCGTCGTGGGCTGAGCCATATTTGCCGATGTTAACTTGATAAATGCAGAGGCCTTGTGCTGTCTGCTTCGTGTGTCCTCGGCCTCGGACCATTAAAATTGTTCTGAGGTGGTGATAGGGGTGACCGAACTAGTTTTTGACCGTGCCTGAATGAGAGAACTTGGACAGAATTGTGATGAAGTTGGGGGACTTGGGACCATTACTTTGGCCTGAACTGTGTCGCAGTCTTGTGGCAGCAAGGCAGGGGTGCCAAGCAGACTAGGCTTTTTGGTCTTCATAGCGAATAGACTTTTGCCTTAATTTATCAGGGCCAATGTATATTCCATTTTCTCAGCGAGGTCGTGCAGGGCATTTCTCCCAGAACGAGGGGTAAGGGCCGAGGCAGTTTAGGCATCTCTCTGGGCTACTACATAGATCAGAATGTGAATCAGCAGCTCAAATACCGCAGCAGGGTCGTCTAGCACATGCATTAATTTTGTGGTAACCGTGACATCTAGGGCAGGTCGGTAGTTGTGGGAGACTGTCCGCAGGCCTGAGTCGAGCCGCTCTAGTAAAGAAATGGACGCTGCTCGGGAGATTTTTGGCGAAGAGGCGGACCTTGGCACCTGCTATCAGTGGCTTGTACTTATAGTGTCAGCTGCACTCTCGCACTCGAAGTATCGGCGCGCACAATACTCTTCAATTTATAAAAACTCCTTGCCCAAATTCGAAAACTCTGATCCGTCGAGGTTGTATCCATCCTTTGCATCATCTTCCAAACTTATCCGGGTTTCTCTCGAGCCCGTCCCAAAGAACTGACTCCCAGATTCGTGCCGTGCTTTGTTTCCTACGGCGAGTATTAATTTCGTCGTGGGCGTATATTTGTCGGCCAGTCGAAGCTAGAGAAAGTTTAAAAAAGTAACAGTGATTGGAATGAGGATGTACTGGATCCTATCTGTAGACTTGATGATGTCTAGGTATGAATCGAATTCGTTGAGAGTGAAAAATCGCTTGTTGTAATATTTTGAATCATTGCCTCGTGGGCCAGCTTCTTTAGTGCTGCAAAATCTGACTGAAGTTGGATCTGGAAGATTATTTCTCTCCCAAGTTCGTAGTGGACACCGCAGATAGGTATTGATCTTTGCCTTAAAATAAATTTACATGCTACCTCGGCCGTCTGTTATATAATCCATAAAAACCCAGAGATTGTATCATAGCTAGATGGCTGCATACGCAATTAAAATCTGATGCAAAGGAAAATCTCTTCCTGAGCATAATACCTCAATATATATCTGTTTCTCGCTTTTTGAGTGCGTCCTGTGATGCTACAAGAAAGAACCCTTAGATCCAATCCGAAAGAGGTGCTAATTAGCCATTCCAAATCTCCGAGTAACCTTCTAACCATATAATAGTGGTGGGAGGGATGCGAATTTGTGACTTTACAGCTGTGCCGGTGTAAACACTGGGTAAGCCCCACATATCTGATAGCCAAGAAGACATGTAGCCGTTGTTCTCGCATTTACAAGGCTTCTAGAAAGCAAATTTAATTCATTTTAGTTTGCAAATGAAATTCATTCTATAATCGTGTTTTGCGTCAAAATGGTCATCTGACGTGTATACGCAGCACTGATCCACATGTTAAAGCTGGGTAGAAGAAAAGAATATATATGTATGATGTGAACAAATGAAAACAGTCTTATGCGGTCAGGTCATTCAGGTAGGACGAGGTTCATTATACTTATATGGTAGTTAACCTGATCTAGCCCGGCACCACTCGTGCTCAAGCTTCCATAGGAGTGCAGAGGGTGCCAATTATCTAGCACGTTAATTCACAAACAATCGAACAAGCAATCGAACCGCTGATATCACAAGCCTTGCCTTAACCAGTCTCCCAGTTTTGCTTTTCCAAACTGTGCCAAATTATTCATTCCTTGCTCACTCAAATCGATTCCTTTTAACTGTGGAATATCCTGCGTGGGTGCTCTGCTGACACGTTGAGTTATGATAGTTGGGTCTGTCTCCAAAATTATACCATCATCTACAATTTCGTCGATTGTCAACGAAACTAGGTCGTAATTCTCGATAATCGTTCGCTTATCTACCGACTGCCTATTGATGCTGTGTCAGTTGTGATTGCAGTAGAAAGCTTAATATCAATGTAATAATAATTCGTAATACGTACTTAAAAGTTAAGTGAAGTGAGTCTCGCAATGCGAGTATAACATTGTAAAGCATAATTTCGTTCTCTTCAGTGCTACCCACTACGTATATCATCACGTCGCTCTCGCTTTTGTAGAGTACGACGTGATTTTCATAGAGGGTAATATCCGCTGTCTGTTTTGAGGTCTTTTCAGATAAGCCCTTCTCGAACGCAATTTGCGCTTTCACATCTGGGAAGATCGCTGGGGCTTTAGAGGTATCTGTGGTTAATGTTAGTTAGGGCTAACTATTATAGCTTTACAACTTGGGTTCTCATACTTGATTGCGTAGCGCTGTGATGCGGGACGTTGTAGTATTTGGCGAAAACACGCGAACCGTCCTCAGCATTCAATATGAGGATCGCACTAACACTAATAAGTGACATTGATGGTGCCATATCTTCTAGATAATAATTTAGTGTTTTTATTGTTATTAATGTGGCAACTTTGAATGAAAGATGTCAGTCTGTTACGCTGGATGCGGAGTTAAATCAAGAATGCTGCCTTTAGTAGGTATCCTGGTGGTAACTAGGGCGTTCAGAACAAGTAATTGATACTAAAATTACTTTTAATGGTGCGAGGATGAGGCAGGAGCTTGAGACGAGAGAGCAAACGAAGTAGTACTCAGTGTGAATAATATGACACGTTAGGATAACAACCAAAATGAGCGGGCGCTTCAGCTTCCTTTTGTACGGCCGAAAGCCTAATATGACTAAACAATTACTAAAGCAGGATCTAGTAAAAGCCCCAATTATAAGTGCGACATGTGTGAGCCAAATTGGCGCAATGCCCAGAGTCACAAACCAGATCTAATCCATTTATCTCTTACCATGAAACATCTCGCTATGACATAATTTAAAGCTCTGTGCTACTGTCTCTGTTGCCCAAATTTCAATATACTTGAAGAAAGGACGGCGAGAACTCAACACCTGTTAGCGGTGTCCCCTACAAACCTCTAGCTTACACTCTTGTGCAGAAACTGAGCATTACCTTTCCAATATTAAGCTGAGTTGTCTCACCTCCCCAAAAGATATGCTTACGATAACACACACAGCGATCAATACGTCAATAATGATGCTGAGAAAGAGGAAAGATGTTGCGCTACAAAACGCTTCAGTGGCAATTAGAGAATTTATCGTCACGTCACAACATACTCTACGTGTTGTGATCTAATTCTGCTCAATCTGCTGACTTCGTAATGAGAAATTATTATTTCCTTCACGATAGTCACTCTCGACCAAGACTTTTCTGACATCCTTTCACGACCTTCGATTTTTCCTGCGGCATGAATCGGGGGAGGAGTAAGGAGGAGTTTAGGAAGGTTAAGAGACGCTCTCAGTTATACACTGGTCTGCTGCGCCCGGCTGGCCGGCCTCTTCGACACAGGAGAGCCCCGCACCCAGTGGTATCTGAGACTTTTCCCTGCAGCTACACACCCGCAAATGGCCATCGTTTAGTTGGCTGAAGAGGAGAGATAATGACGGGATAACAGCTCCCCTTCGTGTGTACTCGAATGAAGACCTGTGGGGGTATCACTGCTAGAAAGAAGTCATGAAGGAGACATAGACTTCAAAGGACAATAAACATAAAATAAAGTACTTGAAACAATTATGAATAATCTATTTACGTAGTAAAAAAGAGAGAGAATGGCATATTTTACAATTGTCTTTTCGCAGTTTAAAATTACATAGGAAACGCGTGAGAAAATAGTTAATTGTGCACAATGCACTAGACAGTAAGATACGGAATACGAAGGTACATGAATCACAGTGACGTGTGTATTTTTTTCAGATGGCCCTAGATTGCTAAAGCGATGAAATCTTAACACTAGGGCGCTGTGTCAATGTGGCGATGAATACTATCCAAACTCACTTAAGAATAGTGATCACTTTCTTAGAAACGTATCCACAATTGTGACCGTGTGTAAATTTTTACCTAAGAGAAAGGGTAGAATCACCGCTATCTATGTACCGTGTCTCCGAGCCCCGCTCAACTCATGGTCCTACGGGATCTCTGGGTCCACAACCATGTCTGGCCTGAAGCGACAGATTGACTGAGCTTCGGGATCCTCGTGTGACTAAATTGATAATTGTATATTAATGTAGTCCGTATCTCAAGGCTGATTGGTATAATAGTCAGCACGTCAGATTCTAACATTCACTCTACCAGAGATCTATAACTTCCCCGCGTGAGCCTGTTAATGTTTTTGGTGTTGTGCATGCGTTAGTCGCTGGCCTTCCAAGTCTCAGTCACGCAGCCAGAAGGCTAAGATGAGTACCACCAACTCCTTGGAAGTTGCTCGTACGCAGGCCGGCTAGGACACATCTAGAAGACAACTTTAAAAGAAACTTCACGCAGTATTAATATGACATTCTGGAACGAAAACACAAATCGTCTTGCCAAATTTTGTCATCAGGCCGCCGGATAAGACAATTTTTGCCATCAGATTTTATTTGCGTATGCAGCTATCTAGCTATGACACAGTATCAGAGAAGTGTATAATAGATGACTCAATTTACAAGAAGTTCACTCATGCCTCGGATTACATTTGCGAATAGCAGGATAAGTCTATCTGTATGCAAACGTACCAAACTAGCCAGTTGAGCGACTTCGCGCCCCAGTTGGTATCTAGACACGTGTGAAGTCGCATAAGATCAAGTTGGCACACGAGGCAATGATTCAAAATAGTCCCCCATGTCAAATTTTCATTCTCAACGGGATGGAATCCTAACGAAGCCTCAAGTTTACAAGTATGATCTATTACATACTTATTTCAATGACTATTCTCTGGCCTCAGCTGGCCACCAATTATACGCCCATGACGATATCAATACTCGCTGTAGTACGAAAATTTTGGCGCATAAGTTTAGGGGGCAGTTCTTTGGAATGGACGTGAGAGAAGTCGGCACCAGCTTACAGGATATTGCAAAGGAAGGGTACAATCTCTATGTACGGGGGACTTGGAATTTTGGCAATTTTTTACAAATTGAAGAGCATTGTGGGCGTCAAGCCTTCGACTGCGAGAGTGCAGCTGACACTATAAACACAAGCAAACGATGGAAGGTGTTGTGGTCCACCTCCTGGTGGTGTTCACTGGTATAGTCTGAGTAGCCTGGGCACCTACTCCACTTGGGAAGGAGACATCTCAGATCACATTTCGCGCGGAGAAAAGTTGATGGATGATGGATGATGGATGATGGATGATGGAGGCATGTCCGGATAACCCAGGGGTTTTGAGACGTTCCCCTGGGTGGGTATTCACGGATGAGGGTTGACTTGGGGTGAAGAAAAAGCCGCCATAACTCCGCAGTGGTACTTGCAAATGAAATCCGAGGCATGAGTGCTCTTCTTGTATATTGAGTTATCATTTCTGTACCTTTTCCTTGATATTGTGTCACAGCTAGATAGCTGCATACGCAATTAAAATCTGATGCAACAATAAAAGCTTCTTCAGGCGCCCTTGCGTCCTTGCAGTTTCCGCATACACTATTTTCCAGCCTCGGTTATGAAGTGACCGAGCTTTTAGTTGATTAGCTACTTGATGATTTAAAAAAAATAGTTGATTAGCTACCTTTGTCCTTTTACGCTGCCACCTGGCATAGCTGCTAAGCCCCTTTTTTCCTCGGCACGCCTAACAGACCCGTCGAAGCGCTCTAGTAGATTCCACTAAATCTCTTGCATTCTGAGAATAGATTCCAAGAGTCTTCCCTGATCATGAGCTTTAAAGGCGGTGCCATCTACCGTGGAGACATCCTTGTTTGATGCGATGATCGCCTCTTCAGCCCTCTCGGCTGCAGCTCTTGCTCGGGCTACTTTTGCAAACCTCCCTTGCTCGATCATTTGAATCCGCTCGAGCTGCTCTTTATTGTTGGAAATTCTGACTCTCGAATTTAGGACTCAGTCATTATCTATTTTGTCTGAGGTTCTCGACAGGATCGACTGTCTCTACATATGTCCCGAGTGCGTTAATGGCATCTACCGTTGCATTTACGTTTGGATATTTACGTACTATAGTGTACCTTGGCCCATCATGGTAGATGAGAGGTTACTGGCAATCACTGGGTTTGGCAGCCACATGAGAATAGTGTAAATTTTTCCCTTGCACGTATATATAAGTCCAATGTTCTCATAGCCGTAAAATTTTAAGACATTTTTACTCCAACATCATGTATCCATATTATATCGTACAGAGTATATTTTCCGACATTTAATCACCGGACCCAACTTCTTGGGTCCGATATGGCAGTTCCGCGAGTCTGATAGGTGAGGTCCCCTAAAGGTTCGAGATTCTGTGGGGAACTATTCTCAACACCTGTCAGTGGTATCCCCTACGAACCTCCAGCTCTCACTGTAGAGTCTGCAGAGCCGAGATTGAGTAACAAAGTTCTCACTTCGATGAGGATTCCTAATCACAATTGTGGTCTGTATCGTCCTCATCTCTCATCACATTCCCCTATCACCATTATCATGAAGGTAGCCACGATCAGTTCAGATGGCAGTGTCGCAGCCCTACTTATCACCAACCCTTGATCATGGAGGAGAAGCCATCCGATGATAAGGAAATCATCGACGTATATCACTACTAAAATTCCAGAGCTTTTCTGTCGATATATACAATTATCAGATTTAAGCGGATCAAGACTAGATTCACATAGCTTCAATCGCAAGCGATTTTGCCACAGGCGCGTCGCTTGCTTAAGCCCATACAGAGCTTTCAAGAGCTTGTAGACCGAGGCATATAGTTCCTCCTGATTAAGTTCTTTCCACATGGGAGGTAGCTCGACGTATATGACTTCATCAGTTTTGCTGTTTAGAAAAGCAGTTACGGCGTCCATCTGATCGATTTCGAGGTTGAACGTTGCAGCCATAGAAATTGCAATTTTCCACGAGGTACTGCGATACACACCAGCGTAGGTCTGAGTGTAATCTCTTTCATGTAGCTGTTCAAATCCCCTAACAACCCCGCGAGCCTTTCTCTTTGATAATTCGCCCTCCTTATTCCTCTTGGTCTTCATTACCACATTTCCAGACAGTACTTTCTTATTCTTCGGCACATCGCTTCTTTCTAAACATTTCCAGGTCTTCTTATCTCTCAGACAATCATACTCTTTTCTGAAGGCCCTTCGCCAGTCAGAGCTATCCGGTCCGTCTAGTGCTTCAGATACACTTTGGGGATCTCTCGTTGAAGAAATAGCTGCCAAAAACCAGGCAAATGCGATACTTTCATCAGGAGAAGGTTGAGGAAGAACAATTGATCTACCTAATCGTATGACTCGAGACACACGTTTATATGCTTTTCGATTTCTAGTAGGCGAATTTGCGTCTACAGTACGGTTTTCTTCAACAGGATTTTTATATCCGTGAGCCAGCTCCTCAATTGGAGCCGGTAATTTGATAT